ATATTTCGATGTCTCTTAATGCTATCTGTCTCACTCTTTTTGTCCAGCACTTTATATCTATAAATTTGCATATTCAGGATACTGCATGAGAAAAGAGTCGTCGCTGAAAGAAAATTGTGAACAAATGCCTTTTAACAAGTCTGTGTTTCTTTCTCTGTGTTGGTGTTTTAAATGTGTAATGAATATGTGACTAGGGGCACACAAGATAAAAAATTGTTACGGCGGGTAAAACGGACCGAGCTAAACATTAAATGATTTAGACAGACAAGGACAAAAATGGAAACGTGTAATTCCTTTCCCTCTTCCCACAGTAGTTTTCACTTGACAAGACTGCCTTTCTCAAGGTTATCGGATCAGGGAAACAGGTTTCGATGCAACAACAGTATTAAGTGAATTGATTTTGTGTTCACCTCACAGGGAGGCCGCAATAAAGCGACATTACTTCGCCAAGAATAGAATACAGCAACATAAATGCTGCAACACAAAACAAAAATGTATGCACCCTACATCTAAAATTCATCAATAATGCAGAATACGCGTGTATTAATTCTGTTTCAATTGCCGTGTGTCTTCAGAATGTCTTCTACTACATTAATTTGTTCTAACAAACGGCAGGAGTTGCCTGAGCATGTTGTTGTTGTTGCTGTTGTTAGTGTTGCTATTTTTGTTGTTGATAATGCTGTTATCGTTGTTGATGTTGCAGCTGGTGCTGTTGTCGTTGCTACGCTTGAAGTAGTTGTAACGGTTATCGTAGTTGTAGTACTGGTGGTAGTAGTAGTAGTAATAGTAGTAGTAGTAGTAGTAGTAGTAGCAGCAGTAGTAGTAGTAGTAGTAGTAGTAGTAGTAGTAGTAGTAGTAGTAGCTGCTCTTGTTGTTGTTTGAGGGGTTTTGCTATGATGCGCCAAATTAGAAACCCTATAGATTACTTTAAATGTTAGTTGTTCGACAGTCCTATTCTTAATCCACATTAATATATTATTGTAAATGTTTTTCAGTGCACCAGAACGTCTAGATTGTGGACTACATGCATCGTGAGTGCCTGTTATAGTCTTTCTTTTAATGTAGATTTTATTCACACCCCATCTACACAATTAGAATTATTAATGAGGCAGGCTCCCGACCATGTCTGTCAAGACCATCCCGAGCTGAAAGGAATGCAGCATCTCAACAGAAAGACGCTGTGACTCGATAACACTTTCTCCCACTCGGGAATCAAACCCGAATTTCCTGCGTGCGATAGCCTAACCGCTACGCTACAGACACATGTCGGTCAGAGTCAGCAAAGCCAGATGGTGAAAAATGGTATAGGTTTAACGCTCTTATCAACACTATTATTCTATTTAAGAAGCGGGACCTCCGAGTACAACGTCCATCTCTGAAAGGACCGAGCCAAGTGGGAAATTTGTGTAAAGTGCATTTCCCAAGGGCACTGCGTCGGACAGAGCTGAGGCTCGAACCCCAGAACACGCAATCTCACGATTACGAGTCAAGTAGCCTAACCACTAGGCTACCGACGCCACTCAGATCTGACACAATCATACTATGTGAAGCAAAATCTACTCATCCACTGACTGACCTGACTCTCCCGTTCTGCCCCACGTCGGCATCTGTAGCAGTGAGCGTCCAGACCCGGCTGTTGAGTGGCGCCACCTCGTCCACAAACACGTCATACGTCTGCTGGGAGAACCTGGGCGCGTTGTCATTGACGTCACTGAGGGTCACGTTGACGGCCAGCTCCCCCGAGCGTCTGGGCACGCCGCCATCAAGGGCGACAATTTTGAGGTAGTAGTAGGGACGTTGTTCTCTGTCCATGTCTGCCTTGACGTAGAGCTGGGGGACCAGGCTTCCGTCCAGGTTCCTCGTCACCTGGTGATAAGATAAGATAAGATAACATCAAAAATATATTTACCAATAAGCATGCAGATAGATAGCTAGATGAAGACAGACAGATAGATAGATAGATAGACAGAAAAGCTGATAGATAGATAGACAGATAGATAGATAGATAGATAAATAGATAGATAGACATACATATAGATGGATAGACAGATAGATAGATAGATTAGTTAGATAGATAGATAGATAGATAGAGATAGATAGATAGATAGATTAGTTAGATAGATAGATAGAGATAGATAGATAGATAGATAGATAGATAGATAGATAGATAGATAGATAGATAGATAGATAGATAGATTTTGAAAACATTACTCTTTGTAAAGTAATTAAACGTTTGTAGGTAACTGTTCTACAGGGCCGAACGGATAGTGAGAAGGAACATCGACCACGCAAACACGATCGCATGTATACTTTAGGAGTGACAGGGGCAGTTATGAGTTTTATTAACGAGCTTTGTGATGAATGCATTATCTTCAAAGAGTCAGAACAGAAGAAAAATCCAATTACTTGACATACGATATGCATTACGTTGAAAACGAAACGTGACGAAAATAAGCACAAAATCATTAGTTTTCTGTATTCTTTTTCTGATAAAAAATGTTAAAGGAATGAACATTAAAGATCCCGATAGCTATCTATACGAGAATACAGCCGATGATTTTAAGGTATTAGTTACGCTATTTTGTCATATGGTCTTTCATTTCCTTTTGTACTCTGTCTCAGTTTTGACATTTCTCCAGTGTCGATGATTACGTTTTGCGTTTATCCCCGACATCAGAAAGGGAAACATTTTATGTCAACTCGTGACATACAACGATGCTGTTGCTATGGCAGTCAGTAAGAGAGAAAAAAATATACTGCATGGTCCCTCACTTTGCACGTACGTCTCTATTTTTAGGTAAAACTGTTTGTCCTTATATTCAGTAGTTCTGGTTTGTGTCTTAAGAAGGTCCTAAATTCAGTAGTTCTGGTTTGTGTTTAAAGAAGTTTTAAAAAATCATATTTTTCCCATGATGTATATAAGCTCTTTCAGTAATTCACACGTCACATAAATGGAAACACAAATTATTGTTTGTTTGTTTGTTTGTTGTTGTTGTTGTTGTTGTTGTTGTTTGTTGTTTTGAAAGATAGAAAAAAGAGATGATTCGTATTGAAATGACTAATCGACACCTATATTACCTTATAATGTTGCAAAATGCCCTTATAAAACACTTCCTAAAAAAATGGCAAAATTTTGCTTGTAAAAATTGTTTACACTTATAACTTCTTTTTCGTGTTGTGTTGACAATTTCACGAGACCAGACTTCTTTTTGAAAAGATACCAGCAGTCATAAGTGAGCTGTGAGGTGGGACGTCTGAATTAAGTCGACAGAAGCTTGAGACTCGAGACTTGAGTTGACACTCAAGATCCTGTCAGTGTCACAAACAATCCAAGACGTTTACTTCGCCAAAACAGGATAATAAAATATTAACGTAATAATAATATATCTTTGTTCTACTTCCTGGTCTGACTCTTCCTGCTGAAGGAAGTTGTGTCGTGAGTTTGTGTGTGTGTGTGTGTGTGTGTGTGTGTGTGTGTGTGTGTGTGTGTATG